TCCCCGTATGCACAGAAGGAAGTGATGTTTTTTCCTTACGCTGTCAATCCGGGGGCCAGGCGATATTCTCCGCAATTGCGGGCTAGCTGCTCGCAATTGCCTGCCGCAGGCCTTGAGATCTCGAGCCTGCTTGTCGGTTTCGGTGTCGCGAAGGCACAGTGCCAGGTGAGCTTCTGGATCGATGAACCTGTGTGGCTCTGTCAGTTACTTAGCACCTACATCGTGCTAGGAAGAAAGGTGATGGGTGCATGCCCTTTAATTCAATTGGCCTGCACCAAAAATAGCAAACTTTCCAAGTCTGACCTTCGATATCCTTTGCCTGTTTTTCTTTTTCGAAATGACTTGATAACGGTTGCTTGATCGATCAACAAGTTTCTGCCTTGATCCTGACTTGGAAAAACAAAAAAATGGCCGGGAGGATTCCGTACTCCGAATAGATGCCGCAACAGGATGCCTTTCCTTGTATGGCCTTCTGATACTCTCTTTATCTGGTAATGTTGGTCAGATATTAAGAGCTACTCCTTCGTTCAAACATACGCAGTAAAGGTGACTGGGAAAGTATCTTGTACTGCCGCACAGATTTGCGGTACAATTGAAGTGGATGATAGCAATTACGGCCAGGGTCACGTATGTCAAGATGGATATCAATCTTATTTTGGGAAGAGAGCTGCGAAGATAGTGGTAGCTATGGTAGCTATTTATCTTTCAAGGTCGAGGGTATCGATTGATGGGGATACTTGGGGATTTATCTAATAATTGTTTCCACACGCACAGCTTCATGAAAGACTTGTTTGTCCATCAACAATTCTTTCATTTGTAGTGGGTTTGCACGCTGTCAGGAATGTTCGAACATGGTATTTGCTGGATTACCAACTGCACATACAACCCTAATTTTCTCGGATTAACGTCTTCTACAGTATCCGCAAGTCTGCCTCTTATGCCTTGCTGAGCCAATCTGCTGCTTTAGGTTAGCGGCCATCATATGGTGCGCTTCGAGTTAGCAGCAAAATAGAAGTTATTCTGCCTGTTCCTGCATGACGCGGTGCATGTAGCACAAATAATGCATTGGTATAATGTACAGCGATATGGAGCTGACCCACTACCTAGTGAGCTACCAATTCTATTGATGTTTCCATCTGAACTCAGTGAAACGCCTGATAAATGATTAAGCATGGAATGGTTTCGACCTTCAAACTAGTCAATTCCATCCTGAAAGTATGGCGTGGATAATGCTGGAATATTCCAATGTAAACCTCTAGGGCGCGTGTGAAGGAGTCCTGCTCACGTAGTGCAGCTCTTCCCAGTACCTCAGGCCTTAGGAAACTGCATAGAGGGCGACCATTGTTCGGTGGTGCCATGCAGGACTTTCTAATAAACCGTGAGAGCGCCTCTCCTCTAAGGTAATGAATCTGCATCTTTATCTGAATTTACCCGAAAGTGGGTGGACAGGCGAAGAATTAAGCCCGTGGATACATAACTTTGTTGGATGCAGCGATCATATCATAGGGTTTCTCAGACATTTTAATCAACTAGAAAAGCTGCAGCTGTTGCGTGAAGTAGAGTACAGTTAGTCTGGTTGCATAGTACAGTACGGGTACTGCTCCCGTATGTACCTACTTATCTAGTATTGACCAATGAGTTCTCAAACCATGGATCGAGCATATTGGTATGTATGATGCCAGTCATCCCAGTAGAAACAGGCATTGCTTGCATCTAATTGGGCAAAGGAAAACGTGGTCAGTCAGGTCAGTGCTATTCCAGGAACAGACTTAGATAGCTTGAGCGGTAATATTGACGCATAACCAATGAGAAACAATGGTGGGCTCTTGACTTCTGAGAGCTGTATGAATACTAGCATATAGAATCGGCATATATTTTACCTACTGCGCGAATTGCGATCTCCATATGCCTAGTTCACCAACTGCAGGTACCGTAGACATGAGAGCTAAATTTATCCAAGACTCTCATCTGGTTGTAGAGGTCAAAGCTAGTATGGCACAAGGATATGACCCTCGCATCTAGTGGAAGAACATCTGTCGTAGATTTGATCGAGAGCATAACCAGCCAGACTTGTAAACTATAGGGATGCTTCTAGAAGCTTGCTTTTGTCTCACCACATGACCACGCGATGGATCCATGTTTATTTCCTTTAGGTAGATCGCTAAAAGCCGCAAAGATTGATAGGGGCTTTTTGATTCCTGAAGAGCAACTCAAAGCTGGAATCCAAGTAGCCAGTACGTGTGTTTACCTGGAACTTGGCGACTTTGTTTTAAAGCGGCAGCTATAAATCTTGCCTGACTAGTAAAACGTTAGTCTGGTTGCACTACCCCTCGCGTAAAACGTTACGTCAGGCCGTTGGCTACTTAAGGTAAGTTCTGTGCGAAATTGCGTAACGTTCCAATCTAAGTAGTCATACAGACAACCCAGGACTAACGGTTCTTTTGTGCATCTACCATAGGGCATCGCAGTCGTAATGAGAAGATGAAGGGTTACTAAGTAAGTACTGTATATATATCAATACAACACTAATACGAACATATGTATCATACTCTATGTATACCCTACTCGAGATTGATTCTAGCTTACGGGCCACCTCGTTGAGCAAGCTTCAATGTAGGCGGGAGAAATCAAAGCGAATTTCAAAAACTAACATATTTGCTTAGTCTTGTTGGATATCTGCTATCAGGACCGCATACCTACTTAGCAAGTGCACCACTTGACCTACAATACGGGGCCTATCCAAGTCCATAAGCTAAAAGCCACATGCTTAATAGATGTCACTACCTGCATTACCCATTTGAGCAGCAATAGAGTGTTGCTCCCGTTCCCTACGAGAGGCGGTGCCCGCCAGACTACCGCCAGACTATGCTCTGGTAGTCTGGTTGGCATGCTCCGAGCCAGATTACCTTCAGATATCCTTGAAATGACACTGGACCGCCAAGATCTAGCTTGCTTTATGCTAAAATGGGCCCTTGTGGACCATGCATTGCACAGTGCCTATTATCACTCCAAAGCTGCTAGTTTGGTTCGTGATTCAAGTATTTTTCTATTCCAGTCTGCATCAGAGACTGACGTACCGTAAATGTGCATATCCTATGCAAGATACCTTTACATATGTATATCTTGCTTGTACCCATGATCCTCATGGATTAGAAAATACCCTGGGCGATTTCGGGGACGCCGAAACATCCACAGGGCCATGGATTACCATGTGTGGTGATCTTCTCTGCAGTGACAAAGACTGCGAGGTTGCGGGACTCCCCAAGTAGCTTCAAGGACTTGGAATCCTCTAATAAAATGGCATTCCTGTTATGTTATTTTCCGGGTGAACCCAGATAGCGGGAATTCTTGAAGATGCCTGGGATTCGGTATTTCTATAACATAAATCCGAGCGCTGATATTCCGTTTCCCGAAGAACACACACCTACATCACTCACCGAGCACCCTTAAACGAACCTTGTTCGTTGGAAGTGAACCCTTGATGTGACAAGGGGCCCTGAAGTATCCTTGGGAGATGATTGGCAATACTTTTTAAATATAATTCATGTGATAGTAACTTGACGATTCCCGCTCGGATCGACTAGTGTCCACTGCCACTTTTCTCACGGCAGTGGCAGGTATAGCCACACACACCACTGTACCGATGACATCCAAGGCGATCAATCACTCACCGGTGAGTTTGAACCTAAGCCTACCCGCAACTTCGAAATTGCAAGGTAAGCTAGTCTGTATTCTGGCTATTGCTTGAGTACGAGGCATAGCTGACTAGAATAACTAGATTCATTGTTCCAATTGACTACGTATCGTTGTTCGATTGCTCGAATGATTTTGGACGGTATCTGTTGGTTACATATTATAGCCAGACTAACAGCAACATTACAAACTCTGTAGCAGAGGGAGGGCTCGAAAGGCCAATGTCAAATTCGATAATCTTATGCTCTACGCAGTTAACATAAGCTAATGATAGTATGATTCTCATATTCTCGTAGTTTGGATCACCTGGCCCCTTCACAACGCTGCAGTCGACTATCTATTGCTGCCTATCGTACCTTCACATTAGTTCTGTACTTGTGTCGCCAGACGTCAGGTAATCTTCTTATAGGCCAAAGTGCAACTGCATCCAGCAGAGGAGAGTTTCAAATCCTAAATTACTGGTCCCCCAAATCTGGTTGCCTTAGTTAAGTATCAACAGCTGGACCCGTAACAAGCCCGATTATTACAGGTCTGTGCACGAGAGCAAGAGTTACCCTCAGTTTGCAGCTCAACTTTCATGTGAAAGGCACACTCCTCCACGAAAAAGAAGTAGGCATAGGCCCTACGCGATACGTCTTAAAAACATAGCTTTCTACACATTGATGAACAACCACAGTTTCCCCATTCATCCGGTGATCTTCCAATTTAGCCTGCCTACCTCCCATGTCCTGGGCGAGTCCCAACCAGACTACTCGGGCTCTGCCGCTCCCCCGCCCACCATGATACTGGATTCCCGATCAATACCTCAACCCTGAAAACCACGTGGATGCAAAGAAAAAAAGTTAACTACAAATAGATAGATAGATTCGATAGATTCAAACATCACAGACATTCCCTGTCCTTCTTGTACCGTCTGGGTGTGACTGTACTTCCCCATCCCTGGCCCGGCAGTTCACGAGATACTCGTTAGTTTCCAATCCCTAAGCTTATTTGCATGTAGGTGTATAAGTTTCGATATATCTTGTATTACAACGGCCTGGAGGGGCGCTAAGCATTCTCGTTTCTTGAGACCACCAGTGTTTGATATTTACAAGTCTGCATATGCGGCTGGTGAATTAGGCGGTTTGGAAACTTGACGTTAGCATAGGTTGCCAACCAGCTAGCGAAGTGGGGTTTTTTGAGGCTTAGACGTTTCATATCGATGGTGTGGAGCTATTATACTAGCGCTCTGGGCTAATCTACCAGGGAGAAACCGCCTTCAAGCCAAACTACCTTCTTTGGGTTTGAAAAAAATGACAAAAAGGGAAGGCCCTAACCCGGAGTCGAACCGGGGACCTCTCCCAATTTCAAATACCTAAGGTATCCGGGCTTGAGCCCGAAGGGAGAATCATACCTCTAGACCATCAGGGCTGGATTATGATAAACATCTATAGATATACTGGTATATGAGGCAAGACTAACTAGTCTCCCAGCAAGCACTCCAACACCCCAGCAGTTCACCATGTCTGCCTCGGTGAACTCCCCACTATAGGCATCCTCAGGAGCCCTGATCTTACGGACTGGAGTCCAGCAGACGTGGGGAGTTTCCTTATATTCAAGTAAACTAGCCACTTCCTTAAGGAGGAGTATATTTCAGTCATCCACGAAAGTGATGTCGCCAGACTTGACCTCCTCACTCTGACCAAAAAGGACCTCCGTGAAGGCCCTTACGACCTGCCTGATCGTGCAGCAAGGAGAATTGAGCAGCTGATTACGGGGTTAAAAAAACACAACGTAAGCTTCCCCTACCACAACCGATGTCATATGCTGACAATAATTTCTCCAAGTTGTCGAAGAAGAAGCATTGAAGTCTACTGCATCACCCACCATAGATAGTAAACTAGATGAGATGCTCCAAGTTCTCAAAAGCATGTGTAGTAAGGTTTTCAATCTGCATATGATATGATTTTACATTTGCTGATATGTCCCCAGATGACAGGCCACAACCAATGCCTATGAACTGCTTCTTGAAGAGTTGGGCTTGCGTAAAAAATACCTCCAACTTGAAATCGTTTCGGTTGACAGACACAATGCGCCAAAATTCGAATGGGACCCACATAAAACTGATGTTATGCACTCTGCGGAGTACATGAATGGCTAGCTAATTAGTATATTGCTCGATACTGCTCTTATGGACAGAGAATATATTCTAAGGGGTACCACAGATGTTGTGATTAGTCAAGACAAATTACATAGGGATTTTTGATACTGAGATTGGGGTTCGTGCTATTATTGAATTGAAAGAGGAAGTCGAAAAGAGTGACCAGGGGCAAGCTGTCCTGCAACTCATTGCGGCCAGCACTCGATCCAACTAACTTGTAATAGCTCTACTCACCGTTTTGAGAAACGTGGCTTTTCTATTGGCTCAGCTTGGACGGCCGCGAGGTTGGAGTTATTCAAAGAATGCAAGCTTGACCTACCCCTGGTATTGCATTTTAGAGTCTTAACTTGCGGGATGTGAGCGGACTCGATATCTGTACAATGGGAGAGTACATTGCATCTCGCTGTGGGGAACCAGTGGGTGGAAATAATACAGCCTGGGGGAACCGGGCTGGGGAGCATGGGCAAAATAAGCTGAGGAAATTCGACAGTAGGGACTTACACCCCGCACCAAAGGTCGGAGATATGAGGGACTTCTTCAATGAAATGTCACCCAGAGAGGTTGCTCAGTGGATGACCCGGTATGCAATTGACTGCTTTACCAAAACGTACCCAGTTCTAGGAATGTATGCAAGATTTCGATGAATGCGCCAGTATGCTTGTTATGGTGGACCAGAGGTGACAGCGCTAAGAACATGAGTGGTAGAAACAAAGCACAAACTTTTCTTTAGCGTGATGCCAAACGTATATCGATACGTAGTAGCTGAGTCGTCAACACCTATATCACCACCAATGATGCCTCGTATAAGTCGGTAACCTTAAAGAACATTGAAGACACGACCCAAGTCATTGCTGGCTGTATTGCTTTGTCCAAATAATGATCAATAGGAAAACCGGTGGAAGAACCTCACGATGCTTGTTAATGTGCATGGTATATATCATTGAATAGCATCGATATCTCTTTGATAGTGCAAGATAGTGGCGACATCTCATGTTTATTTCTTTAGTACAAATCGTCTCCACCATACATGTTGCTCTAGATTGTCGTTCTCATGCCCAGAGGGTCTTGGCATGAGGCTAAGTAATTTTCGTAGGGTATTGTCCTGCTGAATAAGCCCTACGTGAAGTACTACAGTGCTCGGTTAGCCTCCTACGGAGGGTGTTGTGCCAACCAGACTAAAAATACGTCACTTACGAAAAAGAGAATTCATCCACCGAGCCAACCAGACTACATCTACACATAAATCGGTCTGGGCAGGAGAACACATCTACACCCCCATAACCTCTCGTAAATAACTGATTAACGAGAGATATCTGGTTGAGAGCCTAGTGTGCGAGGGAACGTGAAAGGTAGTCTGGTCATCCAGCCCCCTCAGATTCTTCTATTAATTGGCAATGAAGTTGCTAATTTTAATTGGAATGATATTATTTCATTTACTGGACATCTTGCATGCTAGCACTCTTGGCGAGGGCAGCCACGTGATTAGACCTGCCAAGTATACAGCATTAAAACGTAGCAGCTATTAGTTCATGATTAGTGCTTGGAGCTGTATCACAGGTTGATTTCATGTTTGTTCTGAGGATCAGTCTCAGAACACATACTAAATCAATTCTGTTGCTTGCTCACGGTGTCGAAGAGCCTTCGATCTAAAGGTATGGACATCTACATCAACAGATGATAGGTTTTTTTTTTTTTTGAACTCAGTACTCGTATGCACAACTTTAAGGGTCGTATGACGAGCCACCTGGAAACCCGGGTGGCCTCGTGATAGGTGGAGGACCTGTGATAAGTGCAGAGTTGGAAAACGTATCGTTAGGTTGACAGGACGTTTCTTCGAGTATTCCATTCAATTTATATGGGATTGGAGTATATAAATCCATAGAGTAGTAAATGACGAGAAGAACTAGAGCAGCAGCGTACCATCCAATTCAGAACTTACAACAATCCATAATGGTTCTGAGTTCAATTCCCACTTTCACCTGCTAATTTTTTACCCTTATTTGTGATTTGCGATCGTTGCCAAATCAGGGTGACTACATCGTCGCCAACCTCAGTTACCTTGTATGAACTAGTCCTCACCCTACAATATGCCACCTCAACATGTACAGAAGAAGGGGAGCACGAAGACGACAGCCAACCCCCCCCGAAAAGGTCAATATTCCAAGACATTTTTGGGATGCCTTTGCTCTTGTGAAAGACCACCTTGGCCAAACGCAAGCCACAGATTTGATTGGCAGTATTATTGGTGGTGTGAGCCAGGAACCACCTGTATCATGCCAAGTTATACCGATCAACGAACTGCAAAACGAATCTTCCAGAAAGTTATGTGCCCGCTTCGGAATTGCGCATGAGTCAGACTGTGATGATATCGATACAACGGGTATCTTTGAGTGGCCAGTGAGCCCCGATTCAATCATTTCAACTGTTGAAACTGAATATAAGGCTCTGTGACTCCAACAGCAACGATGGTCGAAAATCTGGCAATGTATATACGACATTGTGACAGGGATTGTGAGGCGAGCTGTAGGCCTGCTATTGATTTTGTCCTTTACCCGGTTATAGTCCTACTTGCCGGTAGGACTAAAGGTTCCGGTCACGCTCGTCATTCTACACCCACTATATACCGCAACCTGAAGATCTCCTACGAGGTTAAAGTGCAGAAGTTAGAGGTACCAACACCTCTTGTTGATGTCGATAAGGCCTTAGTTCTACCAACTTATTACAGCGGTGTGGTCGACTTCTGTGTTGGAATCAAACCCAGACCACACACCTATTTTAGTGTTCTGACGGTTGTTGAAGCGAAAAGGGATGGTTTCATTCGCGAAGCTGCATCACAAGCTCTTGTGTATATGGCATGTATTTTTCAGGAGCGTGTGGCAAAAGGAGTTTATTGTTACTAGATCTACACAGAGAGACCTAAACAGGAACATATACAGTATAGGTACATTCAACAGCCATCGACTTGTTTAAATAGTATGTTGTTTCGTTATATTGTTTGCTGTTGCCCTAGAAGCTGTTTCAATATGAATATAAATAGTAGGTAAAGGTCATGGACTCAGCCACGGGATATTCGCCTTATTGAGAAGGGGTAGAGGGAGGGAGACTGGGCTTTCGGGAGGTCATGCTGGAATCGTCGGTATCAGGCGCTGGGCTGGTTTTGGCGGGATGTGAGGGAAACCATGTTGTAGAGTGTATTTGTTTCCATCGTTTTGAAAGAGCCGGAATCACCATGCTCATGCCATATCACGGCACCATTATTTTTAGCTGCTCACTCATGTGATGCAAAACATGGTGAGATCACCCAACACTACCTCCCCTCGACAACCCCGACACACTGACCCCACAACATACCAGGTGGCTACGACTGTATCTAATGTTCTTCCTGTACGAGTCCTCAAGCAAAAATTTGAGGCACTTTTTGGCGCGGATAATAGTAACCTGAGCAAGTCAGTCTTGGAGTTTAAACTAGCTAAGGTTATTTCGGTATTTGGTCTACGTTTTAATCCTGAACCCACCTACGAGTTGGGTCAGCCCGACCCATATACCTGGATACTAAGTGTTACCTTCATATACCTGAACACTGAGTGTGAAGGTACTTCCTGGCCACATATTACATGGCTAAGCTGCCTGCTTGCCGGATAATTGCTCTAGATTCTCCTCCACCCATACTACCATCGCTCTACTTCTTCCTTTGACCATAGGACTAGGGTGCCTTGTTCGAATGCCATCGTAGGGGTAGGCTAAGTTCCAACCAGACTAGTAGGCTAATATTGAATAGAGGGATTTTTCAACTAATTTACATACGCGACAGTCAGGTCTCATGCATTGGTTATGGATATCGAATTGTGCTTACTTGGATGCCGTGCTGGCTCATTTGGAAGAGTTCATCCCACTCTCCTCTGCCAAGTTGGGGTTTATGACGTCGGATAGGATCGATTGAGGCTTAGCCATCTGCAACGCAAGTTTCATGCCGTATAGGGCAGAAACCCAAAGGGAAAATCATACCTCTAGACCTTGGCAAATTTAGTCAATTTAACATCGAAACAAAGGTGAGAGTCAATCCGAGGTTTAGCAGATATAGTAATGGTAGTCATAAGTACTGTAGGTACACGAAGTCTTTCCTACAACTTCCTACAACCGTGAATTCTTTCACTTACCATTGCTTATTTCCCTGTATAAATACCAGCATGTCTACTCTGCTCAACAAGCTGCCAGAATGATGCTCGATGCATACGGAATAACGCAATGTCAGGATACTCGCGAATATATG